TTATCTGGGGTCGATGGCAGAGGGCCGACGATATCCATTCCCCATTTCATGAACGGCCATGGGGATAGGACTGAGTGAAGTTGCTCTCCAGGCTGATGGATCATTGGTGCAAACCTTTAACATTTGTCACATTTACGAACAAATTTCTTCGCATCTTTGCCCATATCGATCCAATAATACCCTGCTCTGATTATTTTTCGAACTAATGTATCGATTCCAGAGTGATTCCCGCAAGTACCCTCGTGCACTTCCCATAGGATGTAATCAGTATCTCCCGGACCCAAGCATACTGCCAACAGTCCATCGAATGTTCTTCGGTACAGCGTTCCATCCGAAGCCAACGTGAATCGAGCAGCTTTAGTCCGTAGGGTTCTAGAATCTTTAGGGTCCGATGGGAGTTTTTCGCTCTTTAAGTATTCAATATACTTGTTTCTCCAATCCCAGGTTAAGCTTGTAGAATTTATCTCGGCGTGACCTTCTTCGATTACTGATCTCGAAAGTTGAACAACATTCCCCGAGCCCAAGTCATCTACCTCGACCGATGACCCCAAATTTGCAAGCGCATCGGCCTCATTATTCTGTTCTCGTGGAACATGTCGTAAAGTCCATTGTTTGAAATGGTGCAAAGTAACAAGCAGTTTATCTAAATACCTTTGCATTCTACCTTCTCGAACTTCGAAGGTTTTGTTTACTTGACTCACCACCAGCAAAGAGTCGCAATTGGCTTCAATGACTTCTGCTCCCAAGTTTCTAGCTAGCTCGAGACCTGCAATCATGGCTTCATACTCGGCCTCGTTGTTAGTCAACCTGATAGTTTTAATAGATTGCCTAATAGTGTTACCCGTGGGTGGTTTCAAAATTATGCCCAGCCCGGACCCTTTCACGTTCGAAGCCCCGTCAGTAAAAAGGATCCATACCCCCGATGATGTACCTGATTTCAATAGGAGTTCCTTTTCGACTTCGGGTACGAGGGTTGGCGTAAAATCGGCCACGAAGTCTGCTAAAATTTGAGACTTGATGGACGTACGGGGTTGATATTCGATATCGTACCCACTGAGTTCGACGGCCCATTTGGCCAGTTGGCCTGATAACTCGGGTTTGTGCAAAATATTACGAAGCGGGTAAGTGGTTAACACGCATATGGGATGACATTGAAAGTACGACCTTAACTTTCTAGAGGCACTTATCAGTGCAAGTGCCAATTTTTCTAGGAGCGGATATCTAGTTTCCACTTCTCCTAAGGTTCGACTCATATAATAAACGGGGAATTGCGTACCTTGCTCTTTTCGAACTAAGACACCGCTTATGGCGACTTCCGATACTACCAAGTACAAACAAAGTTTTTCGTCTGTTTTTGGAGTGTGAAGTAGTGGTGGGCTTGATAGATATCGCTTTAGTTCCTCTAATGCTTGTTGGCACTCCGGGGTCCAAGCAAAATCGTTCTTCTTTTTTAGTAGATAGAAAAATTTGTGACTTCGATCAGATGATCTTGAAATGAACCGGCCTAAGGTTGCAATCCAACCCGTTAGCCTTTGTACGGCCTTCACGCTGTCCACAACGACAATGTCTTCGATGGCCTTGATTTTATCGGGGTTAACCTCTATTCTCCGATGTGACACCATGAAGCCGAGGAACTTACCCGAACCGACCCCGAAAGCACATTTTTCGGGATTGAGCTTCATGTTGTATTTCCTCAAAATTTCGAACGTTTCCTACAAATGGGTCAAATGGTCCTCTGCGCGCAGGGATTTAACTAGCATGTCATCAATATAAACTTCCATTAATTTTCCTATTTGTTCTTCGAACATTTTATTTACTAGGCGTTGGTAAGTAGCCCCTGCATTCTTTAGCCCGAAGGGCATCACATTATAACAATACGTTCCATATTTGGTGACAAATGAAGTCTTTTCCTGGTCCTCCGGATTCATCTGGATTTGATTATACCCGGAATAGGCATCGAGAAAAGTGAGGATCTCTTGACCGGCTGTGGCATCGATCATGCGATCGATGTTGGGCAACAGAAAGGAATCTTTGGGGCATGCTTTGTTCAAATCTTTATAGTCCACACACATTCTAAGTTTGTTCCCTTTTTTAGGCACTACAACTACGTTGGCTAACCATTCATGATATTTCACCTCCCGAATGGACCCTACTTTAAGAAGCTTGGTTACCTCGTCCTTTATGAATGCATGCTTTCCCTCGGACTGGGGTCTTCTCTTTTGCTTCACCGATCTGAACCTAGGGTCCAAACTTAGCCGATGCGTCGTTATGTCCGGCGGGATCCCTATTATATCTAAATGGGACCAGGCAAAATAATTGATGTTATCGATAAGAAATTGAACGAGTTTCTTCCTGAGTTCGGGGCTCAACCCCGTTCCTAAGTATACTTTTCGCTCGGGTCAGTGCTCTATTAATGTGACTTGCTCCAGTTTCTCGATTGTTGATTTGGTGGCGTCGGAGTCATCGGGAATCATGAAAGATCGAGGGACCCTTTGATCATCATCCTCTTTGATTTTCTGGTTATCTGGCTGGGTCGAAGCCGATATCTGTGATTGCTATTTGGTGTCTCGCTCTCCTTCCGAGCCTGATCCTTTTATCGGTGAAGGTGAGGACATTGGTTTAGCTTGCGGGATGGCGAACATTTCCTTTGCGGCTGGTTGTTCTCCGTACACCATTTTGACACGACACGATGTCGGTAATTTGAGGGCCACGTGTAGGGTCGAAGGTACATCTCTCATGTTGTGGATCCATGGCCTTCCGAAAAGGGAGATGTATCTCATATCGCCTTCGATCACGTGAAACTTTGTTTCCTGGAAGGTTCCGGCCACGTTTATTGGTAGGATTATCTCGCCTTTGGTAGTTTCACATGCCATATTGAACCCGTTTAGAACCAGAGTTGCGGGTACGATCTGATCCTGTAGATCGATCTGCTCTACTATCTTATATTTGGGAATTTCGGGCATACGAAATTTTTTGGGGATTAGTTTCGGCGCCGCACTCGACGAAAAAGGCTTTTGTATGAATTTTTTTGAATCAAGCCCCTTTATCATTGGTGGAGCCCCCGGGATTTGATTGACCCTGCATTGTATGTTTTCACTCTCTTGTCGTTGGCTTCGACTCATTTTGTGAGTTCCTCGAGCAATTTAGTAATTCCGGGAGTAGTCCCCGATTCTTGCTCGTTTGATTTCACTATAGCGGGCTCTGTTCTGGGGGTGACTTCTCGAAGTGGATTGGAATCTATCCTGCTTTGTGCGCGAGTTTGGCTCTATAACTGAACTATCGCTACTTGTTGGGCTTGTAGCATCTCGAAGATCATACGTAAGCTGGCCCCGATTTTTCCCGCATTTTGGGTGTCTCGGGCTATGGATCGAGTACCGCCCTGAATGCTTCTTTCTAGTTCGGAACGCTGATTCGCCTCCAAAGCTATTTGTGAATTGACATCCAATGGTATTTCGGCTCGAATTTCGGGTACTTCGATTCGAGCCTCGGTGCCATCGTTAATTGGCCTTCCGGCCCCGGGTGCCAAGTTGTTGGTTTCATCTTGAAGGCCGGCTTCGTGGTCGATAAGTAAAGCCATTGCTGATTTGAAGTTGTAAGCTGGTGTGTACTTTAGATTTGTATCAAACGATCATTGTTACCCTTAGCCCCACGGTGGGCGCCAAATTGTTTACCGGAAAAATCGAATAACGTTAGATTTTGTGTGTGGTTTTAAGGATATGCGATACAATTCGATATAAATCGTGTAGAGAAATAGAGATACGTATATTCTTGACTATGAGAATGCAAATAGTGGGCAATAAAATAAATGAGATAAAGTAAAGCAAACACAAAGGGATATCTTTCAATCTGGGAAGTGATTTATTTTTTGTCTCCGCCTTTTAGCTTACAAGGATTCCCCCTTTTATAGAAGAGGGTTATTACAAAAAATAATAAAATAAAACATATAGTAGAAGGCCCATGATGACTTGTCTCTTCCTTGATTCCCGCCAAGATTCTCTCTTGGTGCAGTCGCAATGGCTCTTCTCTGTGAGCTCGATACTGGCTCGAGCTCGTTACTGGGTTGGGCCTTTCGGTCTTGGCTCGAGTCCGACCTTCGAGATGGGCGTCGCACATTTCCGACCTCGAAGCAGTGCCTTGCGGATCGATTCGGCCGCGAGCTCGATAGGGTTATCGAGCCGACTCCTCGATCGACCTTCGGGCTCGAGGCTCGTTAGTACCGACTTCGGAGCTCACTCCCAAAAATCTAATTTCGACTTTTTAACACTCGAACTCGATCGGACGTAAGAAGGCCGAAATCTATTTCGACCGTATATAAAATCAAATATTGAAAAAGAGAAAAAGAAAAGAAAAAAAAGAAAAGAGAAACGCCCCTAATAATAGAAGAAAACGAAGAGTAAAAAAAGAAACAAGAAAAAATATATACATTATATTATATGATAAAGAATGGAAAAGAAAACTAGAGAATTAAAAAAGGCAAGATAAAAAAAGCCACCAACCATCATTAAATCCACCGCATTTGAACCACAGACCGCCATTTTAACCCCAATTTGTCTGCAAAAAAGTTGGAAAAGGCCAAAAAAGGAAAAAGTAAAAAATAAAATAAAATAAAATGAAAGCAAACAATTTCTACTACTTGTGTACTCTTCTTGTTGTTGCTTTAGCAAAGTGACAAAGAATCACTCTTTCATGGCCATGCCTAAGCGCGTGTACCAATCTTGGAAGGCCAACAACGTAAGCCATATATATTTAGCTCTAGATTATGCACACTTAAATATTAGTATATATTTTTTCATATATTTCTCTGCTTTTTTTCTTTTTATTTTGGTTGAGTTAATGGTTTCTTTTGAAGTATATTGACAATTGGGTGTACTTATTGTGTTAAAGCTTGATGGGTTTGTGTTACTTTACTGGAATTTGATGTGGGGTTTGTTGTTTCACTTAGCTTGTATTGAAGGGAAAAAAGTGAAAGCTTTGGTCTTTTTGGAGTGTTGGAGGTGGTTTTTTTTGTTTTGTTGAATTCTTTGTCTTGAGTTTCAAGTTTGGGTTATTCATATTCTTGAATTTGTTGTGAAGTAGTAAAATTTGATGGCTAGTGGAAGTGGTGGAGCCATAAATTCTAACTAGGGGATTCAAAAAACACTACACTAAAATTTTTATTTATATAAAGGGATTCAACAAGTTATATATATACATAGTTTTTAAAGTGCTATTATCCGGTGAAGGGAATTCAGTTGAACCCCGTCACCATACATAGCTCCTCCACTGGCCAGTGATCTCAAATGGTTTCTTATGGTCCAATGAGAGGTTTATCATTAGATGAAATGTTGTTGGTTAGTTCTAATTAATAAAGTATCAGCATTAATAATCTTTACAATGCTGTGTTTTTTTTTTAATTGGTTGGTCATTGTTGTGGCAAAAGTTGTCATTTGCACAATGCTTGTCGAGTTTAAAGTATTGAAATGCTTAATATTTGCTTATGGAAACTTGTAATTTCGTCATTTAAGAGCTTTCTTCTAACTGATAGTTATCTGTTATGACCTCGACATACTGTTTTGGTGTAAAGTGGGCATACTTTATGACCTGAATTCGTGATATTTCGAGTGGGATTGTCATTCAAGTCCTAGAATAGTAAAGACTTGAATTAACGGCATTGCATTTATTGCAGTGCCTCGTTGTATTAATTATCTAATATGTTAACATGACCCCTCGAGCTTCAGGTGATGAAGCAACTTGAGTTCATGAATTATTTGTGGTACTGATAACCGAAAAATGGCGTGTCTCTGACGACATTGTGGTGCTAACGTGGGCTCGATTAAAAACATGTTATTGGAGTCCGATGTATAGTTGGACGGCAACATGCCACTAGCTGAGTGTTGCGTGAGTGCTGATGAGAAATGTGTTGGTCAATGGAAAGGTGTTGTTGGGCAGCGGCGTGCCGTTGGTTGAGCATTGACTGGAGACATGTTACCAGACAACATGACACTAAGTATGCGTTGACCAAAAGGTGCTGTCATACGGTAACTTAGTGTTGACTACAAATTGTCAGTCGATGGCGACAGACTTGTCAGCTGACTTATGCTGACAATTAACATGGCAAGTGCTGCTGGAACAATGGCCGGAAAAGACGAGGAATAGCGGTTGCAATGGTACATTTGTTAGAAAAAGATAAATAGACATCACCAATGAGATGCAGTGCCGTCGAATCATCACCAGCATCGAACTGGCAGGAAGAGATGAGAAAGACCACTGGAAAGGGATGAATTGTCACTTGAAAGAGTGGGATGTTTTCCTCATGCACGTATTCTTCTATTTGTATCCATTCACGAGCTATTTTTTGGACATATTGCTTTAGGCAATAACTATTAGCAGGGCTTTTCCTATTGCAAGAGAAATGCTGAATAACACTTGCAAAATATGTGGCCATGGCTATACTATTTCTTCCCAAAGGAAAGAATGCTTTGTTAAGTTTTTGTTCTCTGTACTATGTATAGATAGTGCATTCCATAGATGGAGGTCTGCTGTAGTTCCTACAGAGAAAGAAGTAGTTCCTATTGGTAGAGTAGGGTCAGCTGATAGAAATAGAAACACCACTACTGGATCTCTCCTAAGTCACATTATATGTGAGTACGGTTGTGATATTGGTACTGACAGAGAGCAGCTAACATTCATATCTTTGCGAAACTCTGGATTTTAAGTTTAAAATTTATTGCAAAATCTAGAATTGCAATTTCGTTTATGTTGGAGTCAAGCTCGTGAAAGGCTGTGGTGGCTTGAACATTGAGATGCACTATCAGGGATTCACTTATCAAACTTGCAAGTTCCTATTATTGACTCATTTTTTGTTGGAACGTCATAAGTTGATGCTTCTTTTGTTTCAAAGTGGTAATATAAAATACACCTTGGTGGTTTTAAGGGTATTACCAATGATGTGATTCAGATAGAGCACCAATTGGTGAAATGAATCTAGGGCGGTGTTTCTGTAATACAAGGGATTTCCTACATCTGCTACAAACTCTTTGGAAACTGTAATGTAGCTGGGGATCTTAGCCTTCTTTGATCAATAAAAGGATCTTTTGGTGCCTCCTGACAATGTGGAGGGAAAAATCTCACCTCTTCTCAAACATGAGTACACTTTATAGTTTATATTTGCAACCTCAGAGTAAAAGTCTGTGGTTTCTCCTAAAGAAACTGCCCCATCAAAAGAAGAAGAAAAAAAGAAGTGGCTACAACGCCAGAAAGCACCTTCAGTGCCCAAGGGAACCAGAAAGATGTGGACTTGATTTGCCGTCTGTAAAGTAGATTACTAATTGTGATCAATTGTTTGTTTCGTAAAACAAAAACCTATCTATTGATTTCTCAACTTTGAGTATGACTATGCTGCTGTTCTCTTGGACACATGCCCTTGTACTTGACTTTTTTTTGTTTTTATTTTTTTGCTGATTATGTATAATGTGCAGAAATTCTTGCTTGGCGGGAGGCTGATATTTGGACCAGATGCTAAGTCATTGATTATTACCTTCACGCTCATCCTTGTCCCTGTTGTTCTATTTTGTGTGTTTGTGGCAAGAAATCTCGTGCATGAACTCCAGCCGGGAAGTGCAGGATATACAATTTTGGTGATAGCTATTGTCTTCACAATTTATGTTAGTTTCTTAGATCTTCCTTTTAGTGGTCTTTAGTGATCCATCATACTTGGCATACGTTTCAAGAAAAATTCCTTGTGTTCCTTCCTCAATTTCTTTGAACGGAAATCTATGAATTTCTGCATTCCCGTTTCTTCTCTCCCAGAAAGGATGTAAAAAAAAAATTTTTTTTTTTTTGGTTGCAAAAATACCCCATTGTCTATCGTTTTGTTTACATTGTTTTCAGTTGCCTTTAATGTGGTTTTGGTTGCCGTAGGTCTTCTTACTTCTACTCTCAACATCAGCAAAGGATCCTGGCATTGTCCCCCGTAATTCTCATCCTCCAGAGGAAGTACTAGGGTATGAATCTTCAGCTTCTGTTGAAGCTAGCACTAGACCTTTGCCTCGCACCAAAGAAGTGCTTGTGAATGGTTTGCCAGTGCGAGTTAAATATTGCGAAACATGCATGTTGTACCGTCCGCCAAGATGCTCTCACTGTTCAGTATGTGATAATTGTGTGGAACGATTTGATCACCATTGCCCTTGGGTGGGTCAATGCATTGGGAAGGTAAGTACATCCATTGTCATTACCATTTCTTTTCGGTGTTAATGGAGAATCTGCTATTTGTTGCATGTCTTACGCCTCCTAATCTCTTTGGTTCATCTAAAGATGAAACTTGGCAACTGTATCCTGGCTCCGAATTGTTTATATAGGTTTCTTATGTGTATATGTGTAAGATTTCTAGGAGAAGAGAAGCTTATCTTCTACTTTAATTGCTGTTTACTGTTTGGATATCCTTTGAGATACTTATTCCTTTTTTCTCTTCTTTTTTGGTGTACAGCGGAACTATCGTTGCTTCTTTCTCTTTGTTTCGTCAACAGCCCTCCTTTGTGTTTTCGTCTTTTCGATATCAGCTTTGTATCTGAAACTTCTTATGGATGATTCTGGAACTATTTGGAAAGCTATCAAAGAATCACCAGCAGCTGTGGCATTAATGGCCTATTGTTTTATTGCACTGTGGTTTGTTGGAGGTCTAACTGGCTTCCATTTGTATCTCATGGGTACAAATCAGGTTAGTTTGGTTTTATACTTCTTACTGTCAATAATTTAATTCTTATCTGCTGTTGTGCATCTGAGTACTATCATAGTAATATTTTTAATTCCTATATGATGGCTCTGTTATTGTCATGGTGTTATTGGAAAGTCGAATACAATCTCGTGTTTAGGAAATGATTAGGAGATGCCTAGAACATGGTGACATAGTTGTTTCCTATTTGTCCTCTATTTGCTATCGTGGGAGGGAATTCTTTATTTACTTTTCTTCTTTACATTTTTTGGCTATTTTTTTAAGTGTCGTTTCCAAAAAATGTGACATATGTTTAGATGATTCCGTTAATAGTATATATTGGAGGAAGTGGAATATTCTTGTTCAAGAATATGATCTATAGTTAAGACTTATTATTACCCAATAAAGGGCAGCCCGGTGCACTAAGCTCCCGCTATGCGCGGGGTCCGGGGAAGGGCCGGACCATAAGGGTCTATTGTACGCAGCCTTACCCTACAATTGACCTTATGGTCCGGCCCAATTTAAAATGTAAAACACGTATTTCCTTGAATAATTCTTTTTAATGTTTTTTATTTGCCTTGCGAATCGTCAGTATGTTGTTTTCATGTCCATGTTGATGGTTCTTAAATTCCTCATAAAGAGCCTCTATAAGGGCTAGCTTGTCGGTGTAGTTATAAAGAACAAATGCAGGAGCTTGTTCCATCTCATGTGCCGTTTCGTTTGCTTATATTTTATAAGATTCCTGAACAAGGAAGTTTTTCTCCTTTTTTTTTGGGGGGGGGGGGGG